TCCCTCCCGCTTCCCCCCGCCCCGGCCCAGGTGATTGAGGCAGCCAACGGCACCACCAGCAACTGCCAGGCCAACGCCACGGTGGTCCTCACGCCCACCATGGACTCGCGGCTCTACATGCTGGCCTTCCTGCCCTGCCTGGTGCTGCTCGTGTTCATTCGCAACCTGCGCGTCCTGTCCATCTTCTCCCTGCTGGCCAACGCCAGCATGCTGGTCAGCCTCCTGGGCATCTACCAGTTCATCGTGCAGGTGAGCCTGCCGCCAGCACCGCCCTGCCCACACCCCCATGCCGGCTCCTGGAGCTGCTGCAGGCCCCTCCTGGGGGCCCCCTCGCTGCTGGGCTCCGGCGGCGGTCGAGTCGAGTGGCCTCCAGCACCTGCGCTGCTGCCGTGCCCAGTGTCCTCCGGGCCGCCGCAGGCACTGGCACCGCCGGTCGCTTCCCAGGAGGGGTCGCTCTTGCTCAGGCCCCGCCCTGCTCCTGCCGCGAGGCCCGTGGGCGGGGCCTGTCGGCGGGGCTCAGCCCCGCCCCTTGCTCCCTCAGCGGCTCCCCGACCCCAGCCGCCTGCCCCTGGTGGGCACCTGGAATACGTACCCGCTGTTCTTCGGCACGGCCATCTTCGCCTTCGAGGGCATCGGCATGGTGAGTGCAGCGGCCGAGGCCGGCAGCGTGCCCAGTCCGTGCGAGGGCGCTGACCCGGGCCCTTGGGGCTGGTGTTGGGAGCGGCGGCCGCGAGGTGCCTGCACAGCCCCGGACACGTCCCCGTGGGGTCTGGACGCCGTCCCTGGTGGGGCAGCCTCCGGCCGCACGTGGGCACCGGTGGCTTGGCTTCACGCACGCCTGGGTCCTGCCAGCCTTCCCCATCGCGGCCCGCAGGCTGCTGGTCCGGCGGCGGCGCCCAGCAGCGCGGGGCCCCCTGGCCCGTGGTTTCGGGGTACAGCCCTGATCTCTCTGAAGAGAACGATTGCCTCCATGGCCAGGCTGGTGGGCCCCGCCGGGAGGGCATCCGCGTGTGGTCACCTTGTGGCCACAGGGGGCCAGCACGGGACGGTGGGTGGGACCGGTGGCTGCCCTGGGTGCTGGTGCTCGGACACGCGGGCGGACACTGTCCCTGCCGGCTCCCCGCCCTGCTGGCTGCTCGCCGGAGGCTTTGCTGGTCGGTTCCCGCCCCGCCCTGCCGCAGGCCAGCTCTTGGCCTTCTCAGCAGGCGCGGCCGGCTGGGAAGGGGCCCGGCAGGGCCTGCAGGCAGAGGCCGGGGCCAGCCCTGACCCCCTCGTGCCCCCACGCTGTGGGTGCGGAGCCCGGCCTGGCGGTGCTGGGCTGTCGGCCTCCTGCTGGCCCCTCACTGGTCTCCCTGCGCTCCCCCCAGGTGCTGCCCCTTGAGAACAAGATGAAGGACCCCGAGAAGTTCTCCCTCCTGCTCTACGTGGGCATGGCCATCGTCACCGCCCTGTATATCAGCCTGGGCACCCTGGGCTACATGCAGTTCGGCGCCGAGACCAGAGGCAGCATCACCCTCAACCTGCCCAACTGCTGGTGCGGCCCGGGCTGGGCGGGGTGGGCAGTGGGC